AGGGTCAATGAAAAGGAGCAAGACTTTCAGTGAGCTGATTGAAACCTGTAACCGGGGCTCATGCACACAGGGATGGTGAGGGCGCAGGACGGGGCAGTGTTCAGTCTGTGGCACACATGGTGGCGCCTGACCACACTGCTCCTGTCAGTCCACGAAAGGACTGCCATCAAATAGGTTGTTGTGAGCTGTTGTTGATTCTGCCAGCTACATCATCCCATTTAATCCATTTTCTCATTCAACAGATATTTGAAGCTGGGGACACAGACAAACATCCCTGCCCTTTTGGGAGCTTACACTCTAGTGGGTGCAGAAAGACAGACAACAAAACCGGTAATACGGCCCATGAGAAAGGGGGCCAGCCAGCCAGCCAGGGTGATGGGAGGCCTGGGAACGAGAGGCTGGGGGTGGAGTTTAGCCTGTCAATCAGGTCACAGTCTAATAACGTCTCGTGTGGGCGTGGCATTCTCAGAAGACTTCTGGGAACCCTCTCTCTTGATTCTGCTATGAAAAGAGGCGGGCCACGCTCTCTGCTTCACATTCCTGTTGACAAGCAAGGTGGAGCCATGGTGACAGCAGCCAGAGCCCTGGAGATGCGTCCATTGCCATTGGATCCACAGGACTTTCAACTCTGCATTTGTCATCATTGCACATGCTGTGTGAGTCTGAAGAGGAATTCATGGGCTACTATTGGACATGTGGGCTAATATCAAACTTAAGGATTTGATCTGGACTGGGCTGGGATGTTTTATTGATGCATAATTACTTCTTGATATAAAGCTCTGTCTTACACATATATAAGAATCAATGAATTTGTTTCTCTAGTCAACCCGGCCTAACGCAGTCCAGGAAAGCAACATATACATCAAGACGAGGTCGGTAAGAGAGTGTACCAAGATGCTTTCTGGGAGCCAAGAATCCGGGCAGAGGGGACTCGAGGCAGGAGCATGGCTGGTGTGTTTGAGGAAGAGCCAGGAAGCCTGTGTGGATGGAGAGGAGAGAGCTGGAGGAAGAGGAGGTGGGGCTGGAGAGGAACCATGTATACAGAGTCTAGTGGGGCTTTTGATTTTTACTCAAAGTGGGATGGGAGGCACTAAAGGATGCTGAGTTGGAGGTTAATGCCCTCAGTGTTGATTGGGTCCCTGGGGCTCCTGAGCTGAGATTTAACTGAGTGGGGAATTGGGGGAGAAGCCCTCGTGATGGTGTGGCGTGGTTAGTGCTCAGCTGCTAAGGAAGTGGTCTTTGGCCAACCCAGCAGCCTCTCTGTGGGAGAAAGGAGGGGCAGTGTCCTGCTGTCAAGACTGTTGTTGTCAAGGCCCCTCAAATGGACCCCATAGCAACCCCGAAACCGCCCGGGACACGGCCATCCTCATCATTTGTTGTTTGCAGCCATTCTGTCAGGCCATGCGCTGGTCTCTTTTCCGCTGCCCTCTACCAAGCACGGGGTCCGGCTCCAGGGACTGGTCTCTTCTGAGTCAAATGAAGAGCTGCCATCCTCGCTCCTCAGGAACATTCTGGTCTTACTTCCTCCACTTCGGGGCACAGCCTTGGACATCCTGTAGGCCCGTGAGTCGCAATCAGCTGTTTCTGCTTTGTTTCAGGGGGGTGGAGGACAGGGTAAGAGGCACCAGACGCGAGGCTGCAGCTCCCGTAGGGGGGCTTCCCGGGCATGGAGCCGGTGGGGCCTCGAGGATGCGGGGTGAAGATGCGTGCTGAGC